CTGAAGTCAATGGTTTATCATCTCACATAGTCACTGAGGGTCAGGAATCCAGGAGTGGCTTAGTTGGTTGTTTTGGCTCAGGGTCTGTCAGGAGATTACAGATTAATTGTTGGTCAGTGATCTCAAGGCTTGTCTGAGGCTGGGGGATCTGCTTTTAAGCTCACTTGTGTGGCTGTTCCTTGCCAGGTGGGCCTCTGCATAGGGATGCTCATGACATGGCAGCTGGCTTTGCCCAGAGTGAGTGATCCCAGAAAAGGGTCAAGACAGAAGCTGCAATGTCTTCTGCAACCTAACCTCAGACGTGACACACCAGCCCTTTTGCCGTATATTGTTGGTCATGAGACTAACACCGTTACAACGTGGGGAGGGGACCACATGTGGCCGTGAAGACCAGAAGGCAAGGCTCTCTGGGGCTGTCTTGAAGGCTGGCTACTGCAGTGCTGGTGGTGGAGGTGGCGGTCGTGGTGGTAAAGTTGCGTGTGTATTAAAGTCAGTGAGGATTTATGTTTAGTTGAAGCGCTGGGGTTCATATCACGATCAGTTTTACAAAATGCTTTTCCTTCTCCCATCCTCACTCCTTTCTTCGTCCTTGTCTGTTCCAGCTGGCCAAGGGAGTGTGCAGTTCCTGCCAGTGAGTCAGTTGAGTTAATTAAACTGATGTGTGTCAGAGTTGCTTGGAAAAACAAGATGGTGGAAGGACCCCCTGCTAGTGGTATCATCCTCTCTGAAGGACCACCACCTGATGCTTTAGTTTGCTTTAAAGTCGTTTAAAAGTGGTATTAAAGTGGTATTCCTCCTATAAAAAGGAAATGAACTGGGCCTTGTTAGGAGGAGACCCAGACAGGGATAACGCTGAGGCTGAAGGCCTAAAGTAGGGAAGGACTGAGTTCCAGGTGGTCAGTAACTGTGCCAGTCTCACTTTTCTCTGAACCCCAGTATTGGATGCAGTGCCTGCAACAGAGGAGTCCCCTTAAATGTCTGCTGCATGAAAGGTGCTAAGAAAGAGGGAAGGGGATGCCAACCAAGGGCCAGGCATTGGCTAATACTTACTCTGCCCTATTCAGTGCTCTCAGCCACATTGGTTCAGTCATTCTTCAAGGAAAAAATACCAGGGAAGGCAGGTACTAGGACTCCCCTTTTATGGGGGGAGAAGTAGTAGCCTGAATGGGTTGAGTAACTCCCAGTACCATGCAGGTGATGGCTGTGGGATCAGGGCTTTGGATCCGGGCATGCCTGACTTGCTTTCCTCTTATACCCAGCTGTGTGTTCCAGTCTGGGGCATAGCCAGCCAAGGATGTGCACTGCATTCACGATGAGGGCAGGAAAGCAGCCATATGCAGTAGGATGATGAACACCTGGGATCCAGAGAAGTCACTATGATTAACCTGGAAAAAAAAAAAGGTTGTCTTTTGAAAAAACTCACTAGAAATATGAAGTCAATATAGAGCTTTAGAGACCTCAAGACTCAAGAGTTAGTTTTCTATCTGTGACTGACAGAACCTAACTAACATTTCCCAAGCGCTTCATCTGAGTTAGGGGCTGTGCTCTAAGTATGTAACCTCAGGTTGCCATTTATAGTTACTGTCACTATGTATATTGTATGAATAAGCAAACTGAGGCTCAGGGAAGCTCAGTAACTTGCCAAAAGCCACACAGCTTATGAGCAGAGGTATGATTTGGCCCAGGTAGTCTGGCACTGCAGTTACCTTCTTCTCCCAAGAGAATCACTATACTAATCAGCATGGCTAAAATGAAGGAGGGTGTACTCAAGAGTTAGTGAGACCAGCCTTTCCCTATAAGAGAAGGGACCACATTAATCAATGGGAAACTAAATGTGGTCCAAAGAAACTTCTGTTGTGAGAGCTCACCCAGCCGGCCCCTCAGACCAGAAGCTAATAAGGAATAAAGACAGTTCCAAAGTTCTAAACATTTATGCTGCAGGAAATAACTTGAATTTAAACAAGCATCTTGTTTCATCTCATGAACTGATCAGATGCCATTTCTGTTAAATTAATTGCTCAAAAGAAAGAGACAGGCATGGACTGTTGTATTCATTTTAAAACTTGAGACATGTTATAGACAAATTAAATTCTCAGTTATTCAAAAAAGACTTGACTTTTTTAAAAGAAAGGAAAAAGAAAGATAATTTTTGCCATTATCTCTGGCCAGCTAGCAATCTATACATTTTCTTGCTTGAAAACTGATTTGGGTGCACTTATAAAAATTTATGCAAGTGATGTTGTTCAGTAGGATAAAATTAATGAAATCAGAGAGGAAAATAAGGGCAGGCGAATAAAACTGGTTGTTTTAGCACACAAAATGCATCCCAAAGTTTATTCCAAGCAGAGCTGAAATTATGGGTTTATACTTCTTAGAAGCCAAAACTAAAAGGAAAACAAGGTCCATAAAGGAAAAATTTCAGAATCTACAAGATAGAAATGAATAAACACACTCTTCCCAGATGTGGCTGGAACACTATCTGAAACCAAGGGCAACATCCCAATGACATCCTAGGCTAGACAATAGCAGGTTCCATAAGATGATTTCTTACGAGCATCTAGTAGCCCAGATCCACATGCGGGAGAATGAACCAGAGGGAAGGTAGGACTAAGGTGCTTTGAGGTACATCAAAGAGCATAATTAGAAACCCAGGGGGTTGCAGAAGGACCTAATGGCAGGACCAAGAGGATCCTCAAAAGACAGACCTGCCCTGGTCTGCTCTGAAGCTCAGACAAATGAGCTTTGAGCATACTGGACAAATAATCAGTGAGCATAGTTTAGGCTCTTCTAATCTGGAAAATTTTCATAATGAGTGGCCTAGCACCAGTCAACCCATAGACAAAAATAGAGAGCATCCATTTTTTTTTTGTTTGTTTGCTGTGGGTTTGTCATGTATGGCCTTTATTTTATTGAGGTACATTGTATGTAGCCTTTTGAGAATGGTATCTTTAGCATGATTGTTTTTATATTTATCCATTTTGTATGTATTAGTAGCTCAGTCCTTTTAGTGCTGAGCCGTATTTCATTGCCTGGCTGTGCTACAGTTCATCTCATCGTTAGTTGAAGGACATTTGGGTTGTTTCCAGTTTTGGATGATTATGACTAAGTTGCTTGACATACATATGTACATGTTTTGGTGTGAACATAAGTTTTTATTTTCCTTGGGTAAATACCCAAGAATGGGATTTTTGGGTTGTATAAGTATATGTTTAACTAACATTTTCCAAAGTGGTGGTATCATTTTGCTCTCCAACAGCAAAATATGAAGGGATATATATATATATATATGAATATGTAATATATATAAGCATACATGCAAGGATGGGGTTGTGTATGTGTGTATGTGGCATTCTTGTCAGCCCTAGGTGTTTTAAGTATTTAATTTAATCATTTGAATAGTTTTTTAGTGGTATCTCATTGTGGTTCTTTTTTTTTTAATTAAGGTATTATTGAAACACACTCTTATGAAAGTTTCACATGAAAAAAACATTGTGGTTATTACATTCAACCATATTATAGTGTCCCCCCCACACCCCATTGCAGCCACTGCCCATCAGTGTAGCAAGATGCACAGTCACTATTTGCCTTCCCTGTGCTACACTGTCTTCCCCATGATCCCCCCCAGACCATGTGTGCCAATCATAATACCCCTCAATCCCCTTCTCCCTCCCTCCCCACCCACCTTCCCCCACCCACCTTCCCCCACCCCTCCCCTTTGGTAACCCCTAGTCCCTTCTTGGAGTCTGTGAATCTGTTTGCTGTTTTTGTTCCTTCAGTTTTGCTTTGTTGTTACACTCCACAAATGAGGGAAATCATTTAGTACTTGTCTTTCTCTGCCTGACTTATTTCACTGAGCATAATACCCTCTAGCTCCATCCATGTTGTTGCACATGGTAGGATTTGTTTCTTTCTTATGGCTGAATAATATTCCATTGTGTATATGTGCCACATGTTCTTTATCCATTCATCTACTGATGGACACTTAGGTTGCTTCCATATCTTGGCTATTGAACATAGTGCTGCAGTACACATAGGGGTGCATAAAGAGCATCCAGTTTTAAGCAGTTCACCTTCTCAGCATCCTGCCACTGTAAATCAGTCTCAAAGTACGATCTCTAGTCAGCTGAATTCTGTTCACAGCCTTTGGTTGCTGGATATAAGCCAATTAGATGCTGGATGACGTGGGCTGGAAATGATACATTTGGCTGGTTGATGCAGGGCCTGGTTTCTAGCAGAGATTAGGTAGCTAGGTGGGCACTGTGGCTGCTCTGGGCGCTTGACCAGAGAGTCCCCTCACTAGCAGAGGAGAAGCTGTGCTCTGCTTCTAATGGCAGATGAGGATGGGGACTGCAAGTGGCTGCTGCAGAAGTGGTTTCAAGTCCTTACCGTCAAGTAGAAAGCACAGCTGGGGCTGTGCTAATTTGGTCAGGCCTGGGTGGGGAAGGAAGCTCCTGGGCATGACCACCCAATTTCAGAACACTGGCAGCTGTCATTTATTAAGCAATTACTGCGTGCCAAGCACTTTCCTGGGTGTTTTCCTGCTCCTTTCCTGTAAGTCCTTGAGCAGTCTACTCAGTGAGCGTTGTTCACCCGTCTTACAGATGAGGAAGCTGAGCTCAGAGAGGTTAGTCACCCGAGGTCCCATAGTAAGTGATGAGCCCAATTTGAGTGCCTGTCTGCCTGAAACCTGTGCTCCCTCCAGGAGCCATAATGTGGCAGCTCACAGGCTGTGTACAGCTGATGGACATGTTTTATTTGTCACACGCTGAAGGCTGCCTGGAAAAATTTCCAGGGGAGAATATGAACAGACTGGTACCAAGGGCCTCATGCTTGACCTTCTGTACACCCTCATTACCTGCCTGGTCCCTACAGGCATTTGGAACCCCTGGACACTATACTGCATAAAAGGTGATAATAGCAATCTGATGTGGTGAAGGCCACCGGGACAATGTTGATTCTGAGATAACAAATGTGTCTGCTTTCCTTCCCTTGGCATTTAGCTTTCACCATCAACAGCATCCACATGGAGTTCCTGCCAAAGCACTTGGTGCAAAATGGGGAGAACCTGACCCTGCAGTGCATTGTGGATGTCAGCACCACCTCGCATGTCAAGCCTCAGCACCAGGTGCTGTTCTATAAGGATGATGTGCTGTTTCACAATGTCTCCTCCACTGAGAACATGGAGAGTTATTTTATCCCCCAAGCCCGGGTTTATAACGCAGGAACATACAAATGCACTGTGATTCTGAACAACAAGGAGAAAACCAGTGTGGACTACCAGGTGTTGGTGAAAGGTGAGTCCTGGATTTGAACATACCTCAAGCAGACGAACCAACCGTCATCCTTTTCCCTTTTATCTGCCCGGCATTTTCCTAAACTGAAGGTACAGGCATTAGACGTGCTCCCAATATGCTCTTCCTCACCTCCGGCTCTTTCTCTCCTGGGATTAGCCTTTCCATCTCTTCTCCTCGGGAGCTGCTACTTCTCCTTCAAGACTCAACTCAGTGATCTCTTCTCTGACACTTTCCCAAACAAAACTGATCTCCTCCAGGGTCCTGGTCCTTATAGCTCTCATGCGATCTCGATGTCTAGTGGTATTGGTATGAAGGCCATGGGGCTGAATGTTGGCAAAGGATTCTGCAGTCACTCTGCCTGATCCCAACCTGGGCAAGTCCCTTAGCCTCTCTAAAGTTTAAAATTATCATCAGTGAATTCTCATCCAGCTCGGGGAGTTACCGAGAGGATTAAAAGGTATCATGTAGGTAAAGGGGTCAGTATAATTTCCAGCACATAGTGAGTTCCTAATAAATGGTTGTTACTGTTTCACTCAGATTTCAACTATTTCTCACACACCTGTCTGCCCTTCTGGATTGTGAGGTCATGAGGAAAGAGATGGTGTGTCGTCTACTTTATATCTCAAAGAATCTGGTTCATAGTAGGCACTCAATAAATGATCATGAAATAAATTAAACAGATGAAAAGGGAAGTAGAAATGGGTAGAGATGGATGGGGGGAAATCACAGCAGTAAATTTCGGTTCAGAGATAATAGGGTTCCATTCTTTCATTCACTGATTTACTCTCTGAGGAAGCATTTCCCAAGGTGGCAGTCAGGAAAAAACAGGTGCAGGTATATGACATGAAAATTCAGCTGGCAGGGCCTAGCTCAGGAGGCAGTTACAGTCTGGTAGAGAGGAGAGACCTTTAGGCAAATAATTACAGTATGACAGGCATAGGATCTGAGTGCCTTTGGAGCACAAAATCAGGAGGAAACAATTCTTCCTGGAGAAGTTAGGGACAGCTTCCTGGAGGAAGGAACATTGGGCCCAGACACAGAAGATCATGTAGGAGTTTGCCTGATGGTGAAGTGGGGCAAGGGCAGAGGAATGAGATGTAGCGTAAGAGTGAAAGAGCAGAGGCTGGGAAAGAGGTTAGTATCCCAGCAGATGGCCCTTGGTAGAATTCCCCAGCCTCTCAGTCTCCAATGGACAGACGCGGGCACAGCTGGCCTGACATCCCTTTGTGTCACCAGGGGCCACAACCACAGGAATGTGGACCAGCCCTTCTCCATCTCCACTGGAGACGGAAGGAACCAACCACAGTCCAGGCATTCACATTGGTGATGAGGAAAGATGGACTGCTCAAGAGTTTGGGAAATATATACTGAAAAGAAATGTGCTGGCAGGCTTTTGAAATATTGGGTAATTTTGCTTAAAACTTGGATGGTTTAATGGATAGAGTTGGTGAAACCAGCCCTGTGCTTCCTTGACAGCTACTGCACACCTATCATTTCTGCATTTTTGTGCTCACTTTTGGGATCAGAATAGTCATTCTTGCCATTATTACTTCCAGTAATAAGAGCTACCATTTTATTCGGCCCTCAAGAGAGAGAGGTTGTAAGTGCCTTACACACACTTCACTTAACCCCTGCAAAAGCACTGAGAGACCAACAGAACTGCTCCCTTTTACAGGTGCAGACACTGGGGCTCACAGAGGGCGGGTGGCACGCTCACTTCTCATAGTTCATCAAAGGCAAAGCCAGAGGTAGAATCAAGATCTATTCGACTCCGAAGTTGGCCTTTCTAATTCTTGGTTATTATGATAGGTCTTTGAAGTAGACAAAAGGCAATTCATTCATCCACTGAACACTTATTGAGTCCCTACTGTGAGCAAGGCCAAGGCCTAACAATGAGTAAGACATGATCCCTTCCTTTGGGGCGCTCAGCCTGCAGCAGGGGGACACCTCCTCCTGCCAGCAGAGGTGACAATAGTGGTATGAATATAGTACAGATATTTTGACTGGGTAGGTCAGAAGAAAGATTCATAAGAGTCATAAGTGACACGTGTGTGTGTGTGTGTGTGTGTGTGTGTAGCACATCTGGGAAGAGGCAGGTTTCAGATGCAAGCAAGTCTGTCTGACTCAAAGATGGCACTCATGAGCGCCAGAGTAGGCCTGGACAGGACATCTGGCCTCAGCCAGGCTCTCCCAGCCCACCCTAATCTGACCCTGGTCTACCACCCAGTGTGCCTTCCCCTCCACCCCTTTCTCTCCTGCAGGTGGCCCTCCTGAGAAGCCACTCATACTCCTTGGCACAGGCGGTTCCCCACACATGTGCTCCCTCAAATGCCTGCCCTTTGCCCAAATCCCACCTCATCTGCCCAAACAATACCCTTCCCCCAAGGTTCCTCTCTGCCCTATTCCTTTTGAGAATCGTCTCTGAGCCCCCCTTCCTGACCGCTCCATCGCTCATTGTTTCCGTGACACTCTGATGCTCGTTCGTTTTCAGCTTTGCTTTCTGAACTGGGAGGCCATGCATCCCCCCTGTCTCCCACCCTCATTCCCACCCCAGCCTCTGGCTTTGGAGTCAGACAGACCTGGAGTCAAATCTCAGCTGTAGGGCTTATGGCCATGAGCTTTTGGATGAGCCTTGAACCTCTCTGAGGTTCACCTTCTTCATCTGTAAATGAGCATAATTTTACTTTTCATGCTCACCCAGGTTTATTATTATAATTACTTGGGGTCCTGGATATAGAGTCTAATCCTGCTTGTTGGCATTCAATAAATTATACTGACAATCACAGTAATAATAATAAACTTTGGCTATTTTGTTTTGTTTTGAACTATATTAGCTGGGAAGACTTTCCTTTCCAATGGGATCATAAATGTTGAAAGCACCAAACCACATCTTAAATATGTTTTGTATTTTTCAAAGCGTCTGGTAACACATCCATGCTCGGTAACTACTGTGTAGGTGGCACTGGGGTTCTTGGACAAAACGAAAGCACATTCAGTTGGGTCAGCCATGATGACTCAGAGGGAGGCTCATGCTGCTGGACCAGACTGATACTAATGGACTTTCTCTTCCCCCAAAGGAGTGTCCAATCCCAGAGTGACGCTGGACAAGAAAGAGGCAATAGAAGGAGGGGTTGTGATGGTCAATTGCTCTGTCCCAGAGGAAAAGGCCCCGATACATTTCACAATTGAAAAATTCAAACTACATACAAAAGGTGTCAAGCAAAAAAGGGAAAAAACTTCTCAGAACCAGAATTTTGTGACTCTGGAATTCACAGTCGAGGAACAGGACCATGTTATATCATTCCAGTGTCAAGCTGGGATTGTTTCTGGGACCAATGTGGAGAAGTCTGTATCTGTCAGGAGTGAACTCGTCACCGTGACAGGTCAGAGTCCTACTCTTCTTTTGGCAATTTTTACTGGTTTGCTGGTTTTGTCTGGGGGGAAAGAGCCCAGAATTGGGGAAAGGGCTGGGGCCTTCTGGCTGGGCTGCTGCTCTCAACACCGTTCTGAATCTATTGAAGTCTGTATTTTTTCCATGTGGGTCAGACACCAGGAAGTGGGGTCTGGAGGGAACTGGGAGTGGGGTGAGCCAGGATCTCAACCTTTGCTTTTTGATGGAACAACTCCCCTCTTCTTCCCACCCTGCATCACCAAGGCATTGAACAAATAGGAAACAAACGAGGTGATTGGAGAATGCTCACAGGAGAGAAAGGTGAAGCAGAGGGAAGCCTTTGTGTGAGCTGCAGGGCAACCAGCAGCTCCCAGGGAGCTGTGGTTGAAGGACTCTGTGAGGCAGGGATGAGGCCGGGGAGGCACTCTCTGATGCAGACAGCCTCGAAGATTTTCAAGCTAGGCGCCCTGAACTATGTCATAAATGACCCTCTGCTTTTGGCACCTTACTTCAACCCTGCCCAATGTGCATATATATATATATATATATGGTTTTCTGATTATAATGTTTTTCTCATTATAATGCCTGGTATACATCAAATATCCTGAAAATGTGATACAGATACAGTATAAGGTATAATGTGACATTCATTGTACCTCTACTCAGAGAAAACCACCAGTATGAACCCCCTAGACTTTTTCTGCTTACACGATCACACTCCCACACAGTTTTTGTCTGTTTTTCTTTGTTTTTACAAATATAGGACCTGTCAAACATACAAATTTAAAAATATTTTCTTAACTGAACAATATGTTAGGGACCCTTGTCCAAGTCAAGAAATATTTTAGTGGCAACTCAGAATCCTATTATGGGGATATGACATAATTTATTGACCTAATTTTCTGTTGATGGGCATTTAGGTATTTTCCCAGTTTTTTGCTATTAAAACAATTGTGCAATGCACATACGGGTACTAATAATTTGTGTACTTTTGCAAATATTTTATTTCATTGTTATTTATAGAGCTGATTCATAGCAGTCAAATTGTGGATTCAAATCTTTTGTGCATTTTGAATATTGATACTGCCAAACTGCTCCTCAGAATGGTTGAGCATTTCCATCAAAAGTGACACTAGTGTTCATTTTCTTGCATGCTTTACAGCACAAAATATTGCCAATGTTCTATTGTTGCTTGCCTCTAATTGAGGAACAGGAATATATCATTGCTGTGACTTGTGTTTCTTTGGTCTTCACTGGGGTCGATTATGTTCTTTATGTTTACTGGTCTGTTACATTTCTCCAGCATAAATTGCCTGTTCATATGCACCTTGTCCTTTTTAACTCTTCCTGATTGATTTGTTTGAGTCCTTTTAAATGAAAGGAACTGGCTCTTTGTCAAATACTATGCAAATATATCCACCATTTCATCATTTGTCTTTATTTTATGATAAGTATTCCAGGCAGAAGCTTTTAATCTTTACAAATGTATCCATGTTTTGTCTTTGTGGCATCTCGGTTTTGTGATTCACATCTGAAGTTCCTCTATATTCCAATATTATGAAAGAAAAAAATGCACCTATTTTCTCTTAATGTTTCTGTGCTTTAATTTTTTTTTCTTTCTGCATTCAAATCTCTGGTGTATCTGGAATTAATTTGGATGTAAGGAAAAGCCCTTTAGCTACTATTAAGCTGCTCCAGTGGGTACATGTTGAAAGTCCTAAAAGATGCCCTCTTTTTTGACTTTTACTCAGGAAAGCAGACTACTTTTTTGAGTGGTAGCATTTGTAGCATTTTATTGTGAATTTAAGTGACCTTACAGTTAAAAACTAATGAATATTAAAGTATTATATCAGTGACATTTTTAATGTCCCTATCTGTATTTTCCGTAGTTGTAATCTATGTGTATGCTCTCTCACGCTCCACTGTATTTTTTTGTGGGAGCAAAGGCCTAGCCCTACTTTTCCCCTTACCATCTCCTAAAGATCCTATGCCCTGGTATATGGCCCATGTTTTATTAAAACAGTATTTTTCAAACTATGTGAGTCATGAAATCAGTTTAGTCAGATACAGCCAGCATTTAAAAAAAGAAATAGAATAGATTAGAAATTACTTTGGAGGTGCATATGGTGATTTAAATAGTGTTTCCATGGAGTGGTACCATTTACATAGTTGTCACTTTTGAGAGTTATAGAATATTTATGTTGAAATGCCGTAGTTCCCACAAACCTTGTGGAAAGAGCCTAGAAAAATTCTTGGGGAGCAGAGTCTGTTTCCAACTGGTGTGGTTATTTGTGCAGTCATTTGAAGAAGGTTCTGCAGATAAGATCTAGAAAAGGTGATTTGGCCTTAGGGAAGCTCAAGGAAGTTAGAGAAGTGCAGTTAAGAGGAAGGCTGGAGATTCAAGATTGAGCGAAAAGGAAAGGAACATGGTAGCAGCCAAGGTGAATTTTAATTCTTAAGAAGAATCAGTGGTTGGCAACAAAAAGAGCAGAAAAAGGGAGGAAGTGCCTTTTCTCCACTGCTCAGACTTGACCCTGAATCTGACCGGCTTGTCCTATTCTTGTAGAATCCTTCTCTAATCCCAAATTCCACATCAGCCCCGAGGGAATGATCACAGAGGGAGATCAGCTCCTCATTAAGTGCACCATTCAAGTGACTCACCTGGTCCAGGCATTTCCAGAAATCATAATCCAGAAGGACAAGGTGATTGTGGCACACAGCAGGCACGGCAATGAAGCCACCTACTCAGTGATGGCCATGGTGGAGCACAGCGGCAACTATACGTGCAAAGTGGAAGCCAGCCGGATATCCAAGGTCAGCAGCATCGTGGTCAACATAACAGGTAGGGCTGCTCTGGGCGGTGTCGGCATTTGGCAGGTCGAGAAGTGGCCGTGCTGGAATCCAGGTTGGCCAGTGAGAGCTGATGCTTCCACTCCTGCTTGTCTGAACGAATGCTTTCGGGCTCAGGCGGGATGCTTGCGGAGGAGAGTCCTTGCAGAATGAACAGGCAGTTAGCAGTTGTGGTCGGGGATGCAGGTTCTGGCATCAGATGCCAGCCTTGCCCCTCACTGCTTCAGTGACCTTGGGTGAGTTACTGAGTTTCTCCTTGCCACAGCTCTATGAGATGGGAATAGTGACAACACTCACCAAGAGGACTGTTACAATGACTAAATGACGTGACTCTCTTATAAGGAGCCTCATCAGAATAAGCACTCAGTGAACATTAGTTTGTGTTACTGTCACTTATTCTATTATATTTACCTTTCCTCTGTGCCAAGCATGATCCTAGATCCTAAACACAGATATTAAGTCAGGGTCAGGAGTGAGAACGCATTAGTAAGCTCAGAAACAGCAGTAACAGTTCCCCTTTCTTGGATACTGCATGACTGGCTTACACACATTTTGATTTCGTGCTGTTAACAGTGCTATGAGGTGATTCTAGTTTTATAGATGTGGAAACTGAGGCTGAGAGTTTAGATAACTCACCCAAGGATTACAGGATTACCAAGTGGCAGAACAAGAGTCACCCTAAAGCCCGTCTGGCTTCCAAACCATGTACCTAAAAATTTTCTTGGACTCCTTCCCCACATACCTGGCTTTACTTTTCTCGAGAGCACTTATTGCCCAAAAAAATGTACTCTACCTCTTCCTGTTTAGTGTATGTATTCAGGCACTGGCATGAAAGCTGATGAGGGTAGGAACACTACCTACATTATTCAGTGCTTTGTCCTTGGCACCTAGAATAGTGCCTGGCACATAGTGGAACTTCAGTACATATTTGTTGGATGAATGAATGAACTTGGCATGACAGTGTCTCAGAGGGCAGAGAGCGTCAGCACCTCCTATTTCCCAAGTGAAGTTTCCCCACTGCCTGAAAGCCTCCTAGTCAAGCACTAAGTGCACAGTTACAAGGACAGTTGGCAGAATCATAGGTAGGCTGCCAACTGCCCAACTGGGTGATTCCTTCTGGTCTATAGTGTATGCTAGCAATTTAGGTTATTATTGATAATGACAAATATTTTGATGCAGCATGAGATTTTTCACTAAGACATACCTTACCTCATTAGTGAAAAGCACTCAATTCACCATATATTGAGTACCTTCTGTATGCTGGGCAACTTACTGGAAGAGAGAGCTACCTAAGGTCAGACTTTGCCCTTGAAGAAATCCACAGATAGAAATAGACCATTAGAATGCAATGTACTAAGGAAGTACAATAAAGGGCCAGGCATCCTGCTGCGAGAGGGCCTGGTGTGGACAGCACCCTCACCCTCAGGCCAGGCTATGTTAAGAAAGCATGAAGCATCACTGGGCCATAAGATACTCGTGTAGCTGGTCACCCTATCCAGAAGTCTGTGTCGTGATGGGTGTTCAAGTCAGTCAGTAGGTCACTACTGCAGGCCCTGGAAAGCAAAGTTCTCCACTCAGCTGCCCTTCCCACCCCCTCAGCCTGAGAGCTCTGTGGTCCTGAGCTCTCTCCTTTCCATGCAGAACTAACTGAACCTGCGGGCTGGCAGGCAAACAACCCTGTGTCCATGTGCCACCAAGCCTTTGGAAATGGCTGCAGGCCCACTTGCGCATCTGGTTGTTCGCACCCCATAGCCATCATGCCTCACCATAAATGACTCTATATAGTAGTGTTGGTGGCTCACAATAATTTTGTGAAGGTAAAAGCTATTGAATTAGTCATTTATCTTTGGATAGAAGAAGGATTTCCTTCACCCCTCACCCTCACCCCCAACACTGTCTGCCTTTTTAGACCCAGTCGGTCACCAAGCGCTGCCAGGTCTCTCAACTCTGTCCTGTCTTCTGTCTCTACAATCATGCCCTAACACTGGCCCTCACACAAGGATTATCTATTGCAGAGGTCCCCCTGAGCATCTCTGCTCCAGTTCACCCTGCAGCCAGTTACAGGAGAAGCCCTCCTAAAATGGTTCCCTAGATGACATCACTATTCCTGGGCTTAAATTGGTGATCCGCCACCTTGGCACCACCCCCATCCAAGCCTCTCTCCCCAACCCAGTCACTGTGCAGACAGAGCATCCGTCTCCACGCACTCTGTGTGAGTCCTTGAAGGACCAGATCTGCAGTGCAACTCGCCTTGCATCACTGATCCTTAGACACAGCCTGGCACACTGTAGGAGCACAATCAGTGTTTGTTCAGTAAGTGATAGTCGAGCCGGTTTGTTTACACTGCCTCTTTACAATCAAACCATTCTCTAATACTTCATTTCTAATCTGAAACCATCTTGCACTCACTTCAGCAAGGTGGTTTCTTACTTTTTGCATTTTTGTTTACATATTTTAAATGTAGAGTCATTGCTTTAGGATTTTTCCTAAATCATCTTTTCAAGTTTTTTGGTATCTGCTCAATGGGATTATAAGGCACTTTAGAGTGTCAATTTCTTTGGTTCCTTTTCCCCACTCTTAACCTAGACCTTTTGATGGTGCTCTGGAAACAGATAGTCAGTACTTATCATGGAAGGGAGGAAGGATGGAATGTGCCTTCATGAAATACAGATTAATTATTGGGATACCACCTTACTTCAAGTTGTATTCCATCCCCTGTTGAGGAAACAAGGAAGGTACTGCGGCTTGATGATGACAGCTCGGCCACACCATCGATGACAATGACAGTGTCGGTTTGCACCCCCAAGCCTGCACAGCAGATAAATTTAGAGCCTAAGGTAGAATTTGATTCCCTGACCCCTGGTTGCATTCTTGATCTCAAGCCCAAGAAGAAGCCTTCCTAAGAGGAACTTTGAGACTGGGTCCCTTTCTCAGAGGACACATAGTCCAGAGTTACTGACTCCTTCTTCCCGTGTCAAGGGCCATAGCCATGAGGTCAGCATGCATTTGCTCACCTGAAGGATCCAAGTCTTCACACTGACTAAGTAGCTAATCAGTAATTTCCCTGTAGCTGAAAATAGAAACATACACCATAACTATGAACTGTTGAAGTATTTCAGGGAATATTTAAATAAGGAGATGACAAGTTGTCTTAAAAAGCCAACTCCAGTCTTTAATACTGTTGACATCTGTACTGATGGTACAGATAACTCAGGCAGCAGAGACTGTTAGAGTTCACACGGTGCTCCACCTCAGGTGGCTCCGGGTGTGTCTTCATTCTCCTGGGGGGGAGGGCGGGAGGGATGGGGGCCAGCCGCGGCTTCTCCCCACCTTCACTCTCCCACTCTTCTTCCAGCCTGCACTACATCCCTCCTGCTTCTGGTCTGGGACCCCCAACCCCCATTCTCCTCCCAGAGGTCTCCCTACCACACACTTCGGGGGCCATTTCCCTGACCAGACTCCCTGTGGTTCCCACGGCCCTGGGGGCACAATCTGTACTTCACGACCTGCAGGCCTTCCTACGGCCTCTTCTACTCCCAACTGAGCTCTCAGGTACTCCAGCTTCCTGCCAGGCCCTCCCTATGTTGTTCCCTCCGCCTAGACTCTCTCCCTGTGTACCTGGGTGGCTTCCGCCAAGAGTCCTTTCCTGACTCCCCAAGCCTGGGTTCATGATGGGCTCTCCTGCAAACACCACGTCTACATCACCCACTAGATGTAAGCACAGTGAAGTCAGGGACTGTTTCTTTCTCACTGCTTTCTGTCCAGTGCCAAGCAAGGTGCCCTGCACAGAGATAGCCTGAAAGAAACACTCATGGAATGAAATGTATGAGTGAATGAACGAATGCATGCATCACTACTTGCTGCATTACATATTACGCATTACAAAACTTTTCTAATCCATGTCTGTGAAATATGTTGGATTAACACAGGAGCAAAACCTGCCATTGGAATCCCAGGCAAAGAGTGAACCTGAGCCCTGTAATTGTGTGATTATCAGGTACATGAGTAGCAAGGTACTGAGTACCTTGGAAGGAGAAAGGAAAACTTTTTGCAAAAAGTTGGGAGTGGGCTCTTCCAAAAGCAGCTGGGCCAGGGGCCACTCTGCAAAGGGGCTTTGGGTGTCATGCTCAGAAACATTTCACCCCATTCCCACTCCCTGGTGTTTCAGAGCTGTTTTCCAAGCCAAGGCTGGAATCTTCTGCCACACGTCTGGACCAGGGTGAAAGCCTGAACTTGCGGTGCTCCATCCCAGGAGCGCCTCCAGCCAACTTCACCATCCAGAAGGGAAACATGACTGTGTCACACACTCAGAATTTCACCAAGATAGCCTCGGAGTGGGACAGCGGGACATACACCTGCCTCGCAGGCATTGGCAAGGTGGTCAAGAAAAGCAGCATGGTGCAGATTGCCGTGTGTGGTGAGTGCATCCTTGCTGGCTCGGACAGTACTGGTGCTGAGTGGGAGGAAGGGGACTTATCACCAGCTGCCATCCTGTCCAGTCGGCAGGCAGATTACACTGCGGCTGGGTAAGAACCCCCAGGAATGAGAGAGGAGGGAAATCAAGAGACCCAACAGAAGCAAGTGGGTCTTCCTGCTCAGTGCACAGGAGAGAGGCAGTACAAGGAAAAGGGTGTTGGCAAAGACTTCATGGCTTTAGTGTGGCTGCCTGCTGATGATGTGGCCTCTGAATTGGCAGGACTCTGGCTGCTGGAGCAGGCACCCACCCAAAAGGTCAGGGAGGAAGCACTGCTTAATCAACACGAAATTTTAACGTCTAAGTTCCAGTTTTTAATCCATATCCTGGCTGACCAGAAGGGCTAGGACTTCCGGTGAGCAGAATGTAGGTACTGGGGCCACGTAGAGCAGTGTTCTCAGACTTGACTGCGCACACAAGACCTGGCTAGGATGCCGCCAGGGGCTCGGGGTGGAGCCGGAATCCGCATCTCTGACGAGCAGCTTGGGGGGCTGCAGTCGGGCCGTATTTTGAGTAAAGGAGCGAATGTGGAGCTCTAGTCAGGCTGTGCTTCAGCTGAACCTGGTTGATCCAGTCAAGATTTTCACCTCAGCTGACCCAGAGTTTTCGTCTGTCATTGATTCTCTAGTCATATAACTCAAAAAGAAATGAAGCAAGAGACAAATGTGGTCATTACATTTTTTTTCTTTCTGGTGTTCTTGGGAGGAGTTCATTTCACTTTATAAGCTTTCTAAATGAGCAAACTTCTGAATAATGACCTAGTACTCGTTTCTTGAAGCATGGAATTTATTATCAGGAGAGGCTGAGGCACTGCGAATTTGTTTTAAAATATAATCTGTTTGGGTACTTGTACATTTTTTATGCTTTTCCTGTATCTTTTCTCAATACAAAAAACTGTGGGGATGTGTGGGTCTATGCATGTGAGATATATGACAATATAAACGTGTATTTAGGGGGATATAATGTTTTTCTTGAACTTGTGTCATCCATTTTGTTTATAGCATTCTCCCTCTCTTTCCCTCCTCACCACCCACTGCACGCGCACACACACACACACACATTACCTACCAATCTTAAAGGAACCTATAAAGGTAAATAAGGCAGATAGGCATTTAAAATGATGGTAATGACAGAGAAAGCAAAGCCCAGAGTTTGGGGAAGAAGAAACTCCTCAGGCCGGTTCTGTTTCTTTCTTCAATGCCATTCAGGTTGTTTCTCTCTCTCTGTCATTCTAGAGATGCTCTCCAAGCCCAGGATTTTTCATGAGTCCAGGTCTGAGGTGATAAAAGGACAGACCATAGAAGTCAGTTGCCAGTCCATAAACGGAACCTCACCTATTTCTTATCACCTCTTAAAAGCAAGCAGTGTTTTGAAGAAATGTAGCATGAGCTCAAACGACCCTGCAGTATTCAAAGATAACCCAACAAAAGATGTAGAATACCAGTGTATTGTGGACAATTGCCATTCCCAAAACAAAATGTTCAGCGAAGTTCTGCGGGTCAAGGTGATAGGTAAGACACTGTGCTATGAGAAGAAACCATGCGGGTTTGGGGCTTTAGTTCACATTTTTTAAAGGTTTGTGGCTGCCCAGGGACTGTGTGGGCAAGAGAAGTGGGTACTACTTGGGCAAAGTCCATAAACGTGACACATGGCAAAGAAGGACCAAGGCCCAGGTAAACAGGGTCACAAAAGATCTGGTAGCTATTGATATGGCAATGTCATCTCTTCTCAGAACCTTCTAAGCAAACTGCTAAAATAGAAGAGCAAAGTGTCCTGACTTCTGGAGGCACTAAAGTGGTGCTTTGGGGCCCCCTTAGCATTAGCTCCTCTTGAGATGGATTGCCAGGCACCTCTGAGAACTGTAGACCGGAGCTCTTCTCTACTGCTGACCCTTGGTGGGGCAAACTCTGTCCTGTGCAGATCCCATGGCAGTCAGAGCTGCAGGCTCTAGTCTCACGGGACTGGCTAACATTCACCTGGGTCTCTCATACTCAAGAGAAATAGACCTCTGTCCTGGGGTGGATGCTGATCCTTGAGCCTCTGTCTTGCACCTCTCGGAAGTCCTTCGCAGTGCCATGGCTTGCATCTGAAATAACCTGCACACTGTTTTAAAAAGCTTCATAAGGCTCCTTCCTTTTCTTCCTCCTTCTTATTGAATACCTGCTTATCTACATGTGCCATTGTGGACATCTCAAGTTGGATAGAGATTCCTACTTCTGTTAATGTATAATCTAAGAGTAGCCATACTTTTAAAATTAACACCAGTATATATAAAGCACCTAATGCTATGGAGTATGTACAAAAAAGAAATATGTTCTTTGTTTTCAATGGTATAACAAGAAACACAGGATCTCCTGATTAAATAAGGGGAAAAGATTTTAATATATTTGAACTACAATGCAAATAATTATAGAAGAACACGTTACTAGGCAACACATGATTGTCATGTGTGCTACCCTTACATTGAAGGTGATAGGAATCTACAGCATGAAAGATATCATCTAGCTTGAGTGGGAAGAGCTGGGTTAGGAACCAGAACTTGACAATGGGTAGGCAGAGAGGACTCGGGGTGGCCTACCAGCTTGGGCAAACACATGAGCAAAAAGCCTGTGGGCAAATCAGATGGCTGGAAACAAAGAAACAGTGATTGGGAATGGAGAATCGTTCAGTATAAACTGAAAAAGTGACTGAGCCCAACTGTGAAGGGCATCAAATGCCAGTCTTAAGAGTTGGGGATTTGTCCTGTGTGCAATAAAAAGTCAGAAGAGGGAAGGACATGGCAAGAATAGGGTCTTGGGAAGATTAACCTCATGGCTCTATCACTTAGAACAAGTAGAGAATTCAGACCTCATAATACCTGAGCAAGGTAATGTGAAATTGGCTAACATTTACTGAGTCCTGACCATGTGTCCACCCCTGTGTGAAGCAACTTAGCAATTTCCGTTAATACTTGCAATAGCCACATAAGATCCATAATTATTATAACATCCTTGTTTTATGGTAAAGCAACTAAAGCCTAAAACAGATAGCTGGTAGATGGTGGGGCTGGGGACTGAGACTGGGCACTCTGGCTCCTGAGTCCAGCTTGCCACCACCTCCTTGTGCTTCACAAGAGAGAGAGCCTCGAGTCAGGCGGCACTCTCTGCGGGGCTGCCCTTGTGGGCAACCCCCACCATCCCATCCTGGGCCTGGTGCTTCCTTTGTTGGGCGAGCAGCTGCGTGATCTGCCCACCCGCTGCATTCACAAGAGAGAGTGATTTGTAAGTCAGTTGTCCGTCTGCTGACCAGACCATTCTCACATTAATAGGAAGGTCTACTTGGGAAGACAGTTTAGGATCAGAATTTGGTGGTTGAATATGGAGCCTGGGAAAGGGAATATAGGAGAAAAATGAGTTCTGCCTGAAACTGCTGGGAATGAGAGGCTGGCAGGGCTTCCACATGGAAATGCCCAGGTAAAAATAAAGACTTGGAATTTAGGGGAGTAATATGTATTTATATATATTATATTTAGTATAATATATATAAATACATTAAATATGTTTAGCTACATATTTAGGCAATATTTGCTATATGTTTATGTGTTAAATGTACACATAGAAGCTATGATGTAGGTGAAATCACCAGAGAAGAGAATGGAAAACTGAGGATGGAATTTTGCAGAAAGTCCATACTTGAAGGGTAAAGGAAGAGAAACTGATGAATAAAGAGGGAGGGCAGGAGAGGTGGTGAGAGAATCTGGGTTGTGAGGCATCCATCACAGAAGCCAGAGGAGGCCGTGCTCAAAAGGCAAGTCTGGGTGACAGCTGAGAGCTGTGGGAGGCTCGGGAGGGAAGACTGGAAGGACATCTACAGTGGGTCTCGCCTGCTGGGGTCTCGGAGATGCGTTCGTCAGGGATCGGGTGGCCTTCCGCGTCTCTTTAAAACCAGAAATAAGAGTGCAGTTTCAGAAGCAGAGGGATGGAAGTCAGACTTCAAGGGATAACAAGAAGGTGGGAACTGAGGATGTGAAAGCAATGGTTTAGACCACTCCTAAAGGAAAAAAGAGATAAACAGGACGGGAGCCAGAGAAGGTGGTGGTCGAGGCCATTTGTTCCTGGGATCTGGAAGCGTCGGGCATCTTTGTAAACAGGGAGAGAAAAGCCTGTGCGCGCACCCCCGCCCCCCGCCCATGCACACAGAACAGACCGCAGCAGAACCTACATCGTAGGGGCAGGCTGGGTGGCCAGTGAAAGTGGAGTGGTCCCTGCAGGGAGTTGTCCTTAGCATCTTGTGTCTGATCAGCACGCGAGGACAGGAGGCATCCGTGGCTGGCCTCCCGGGCTGATCAGGGGGGGACATGTGGGTGTGTATGACGGGCGTGACGCAGCCGAAGAGCTCAATGCCGGCCCGTGTCCTGGGCCGCGAGCAGCGGCTGTCGCGCTCCCTCTCTTCCCCCTTTCTCAGGGCTAATCCTTTTCCTGCTTTTCAGCCCCGGTGGATGAGGTCACGATCTCTATCTTCTTGAGTGAGATGGTGGAATCGGGGGAGTCCTTTGTGCTTCAATGCTCCGTGAACGAAGGGTCTGGTCCAATCACCTACAGGTTTTACCGAGAAAAGGAGGGCAGGCCCTTCTACCAAATCACCTTGAATGACACCCAGGCCATGTGGCACAAGCAGCATGCTAGCAAGGAGCAGGAGGGACAGTATTACTGCACAGCTTCCAACAGAGCCAACCCCGCCAAAAACATGCCCCGAAGCAACGTGCTGACGGTCAGAGGTGCGTCAAGGTCTCAACAGTGGGACGACTGGGCCCGCCAAGGGTGTGGCCAGAAAGCTCACCACTTGTAAGAGGAAGTGGGTGAAAGTTTACTGCGTCTTCCTGAGGGTTAAGAGACCAATATCCTCCAGGCTTTTTGGTTACAAGTGACAGAAACCCACTCAAGTATAAAAGAAGAACTGGTTATTATATGGAAGTGGAAGTATTTCACACAATCATAATTCTACAGTCTTGGTAGAGAGACACCAGTTGGCCCATCCGGGATCAAATGTCCCCCAATGGACCACCTGTGGCCAAGGGGATTGGGTCATGCAAAGGGGACATGGTTGGGGGAGCCCACCTATGTTGGTAGAGGGTAGTTTCCTAGAGAAGGAGGAGGGCTGGACAGACCCCAGAAAGGAGCCTTCTTTAGTCCCATGGTCCTTTAAGACCACCGTGGACTCTGTAGCAAAAGCAGTTATTTCTATACTGGCGATGAACAGAGTTCACAGAGGGAGATGCTCATGTTAGATGCTGATTTCAAGGACTGTAAAAATCAGCTTTATTTGTTGCTTAAGCCTAAAATTGTTTCTTACTGGAGGAGGAAAAACCTATATACTTAAATTTTTTTGATTTCCAGTCTTTCTTGCCCCATGGAAGAAAGGACTTATTGCAGTGGTTGTCATCGGAGTGATAATCGCCACCTTGGTACTTGGGGCCAGATGCTATTTTCTGAAGAAAGCCAAGGGTGAGCACAGTTCTTTCATTCCATTCCGGCAGGTTGCCCTTGCCGAGAAACCAGCCGTGGATGTGAGGGGCTCCAGCTTCCCGGGGGGTGTGCTCTGCCCCAGTGGGAGCTAAGGGAATGTAACTGATGACAAGTGTTTTCTCCTTGGGGTGTCACCTTATGACCAAGATTTTGGCTTTGGTGGATATGGAGCTTTTACTGCACCTGGTCTAGACAGGCAAAAATGAAAACAATTGCTTTCCTAGTTGGTTAACCCAAAAAGATGAATTTTGGGGGAAGTTGCATCTACATGTAGTCAGAAGCTATTCCTGTGATTGACTATACCCAGTCCTGTGGTTGTAAGAGTGGGGTGTGGTGTTAGGGAGTACATTCCACACACTGAATACCTCTCAATTATCTGCCAGTTGTGCTGTGATTTCTACCCTGTGCTTGAGGTTAGACACACATGGAAAGGAAGCCAGGACTACCTGGACTCAAGGAAAAGGGCATATACCAGTAAATTCTGCAAAAACTGTTGTAGGTAAAGTGGGTTCTGTTAGAGGCCCTGGTGCTGCTTTCTGGGACGGGTGGGGGAAGATGTGATGAGGAGGGGCCCTCAGCTTTTGTTAGAGCGCATGAGCTATAACCACACTGGGAAGTCAGGCTCCAGAACAAATCCCCTCCTAAGGCTGACCCGGGCCTGGGTGTCAGGCCGACTTGGCATCAAGAGCACAGGGCCTGAGTCAGCCCTTCCCTGGCAGAATGGTCGTGAGTCAGAGAGAGAGCTGCTTGTTTAGCTAATCTGGTTGTCTTCATCTCTGTCACATTCCGCTAAGGAAACCCACTCCTGGCTAAAGCAGTGACAATGTCACATTTATTTATGAGGGGAAATCATGTGAAGTCTCTTGGTATAAGACCAAGAGAACCCTACTTTGTTCAGTTATTTATTTTTTTCTTTTTTTAAAAGCAGGAATATATTTGACTTTCTCTTTTTATGGGTATTCAATCTTCAAGAAAGTCAAATATGGTGGAAATGAGTGTTTCTACCTGGTATGGAGGAGGGTACTTTATACTGATCTCGATTTTTCTTTTTCTCTTTTAAAGCCAAGCAGATGCCAGTGGAGATGTCCAGGTCAGTGTGCATACTTGGAAGACAGGCGGTCGCTCTGTGGGCATGAATAGGCCTGTCTGTAGGGAGATTCTGGTCATTAGGAAGTTTTCAGTGGCTCTTAGAAAACTCAGAAAAAAAAGGGCCTTGGGGCTGAGTAAGGTAGGATTTTGTGGGGGGGAGGGTGTGTGTGGTGGGGGGGTGTATTTGTCTCTTAGGAAGATTGCCAGTTATCCTTTCATGAGAAGAAATGGCTTTATTCTGAGGTCATTTCCTTCCTACATTGTTACTTGTGAAATCCCCTTTTCCTTATGAAATTATAATGGTAGTATATGGAATTCTAAAAATTTACTCGGCAAAGTAGAATTGGCCCAAAAAAATGGTTTTGCTATATTGTTGTTCTTGAAATCCAAAAATTCAAAAGTCTGGAAATGGTAGCTATGTTCCCAAAAGAACCAGTAGCATAGGATGAGGAACTGAGGGGGTCGGGACTCACCAAAGCCCCTGTGGTACCTGGGGGCCCTTCGGCCCTGACACCCATTTTAATAGCAAAGAGTTTTTGCAAAAAGCTTAACAGCTGAAAGAGAAAATGTTTTCCAAACAAGAGAGTGAAGTTTTCCTAACTTGGGAAAACATCCTAGTTTTCTCATGATCTTTCCTTGACTATTTTGTTTGCTTGGAGTTAGAGCCAAAAAAAGTTATGCATTTTTTCCCTTTTAAATTTCATTTTAAGGCCAGCAGCACCACTTCTGAACTCCAACAATGAGAAGATACTGTCGGATCCCAATGCTGAAGCCAACCAACATTATGGTACAGTCACGGTTTCCTGCAGCTGCTAAGAGTTTTAGTTTTTCCCAACTCACTACACTCTCCCCTCTCTTAGAAGCAGAATCTGTAGGTGATGGGGCTACAGTTGGTAGGGAAAGCCTGTCTTCATGCAGACACTTAATCTAATCGCTCATTGGAGGCCATGTGATAAGCAAAACATAAACTTAAGAAAGAAGGCACAACATTCAAATCTCATCACTTTCTGAACATCCCAAGGAATGAAAGGTGAAGAATAATGATAATGTGGGGGATACCCATCCTGGGTTATCTTCAAAGACTTTGAACATTGCTCAAGTCTAATGATTCTCCATTTGTAAGAGAGAGAGACCAGATATCAAATTAAGGCATTAGTAAAACATCTTCTTAGATGGAATCATTTATTAGAAGCCCAAGACAGTTCCCTCTCAAACTTGTCATGGGAGGGAACCAGTTTAAATATTTCTGTTAGTAGAGGCATTAAAAGAAAAAGTGGTGTGATAAAGGAATACCTGATTGTGACATTTATCACAAATTTGGGAGTCAGCTCAATCCCAGGATTTCTTCGTCCCATTAGGCCTATGAGAAAATTGCTCAAGGGTGCTAGTTACTTACCAAGGGCTATAGTTACACCACACAAAAAGCTCTGTCCCAGACCAGATTTGGGGCAGTTTTCTTTTCATCAGCAGGTTTGGGAATAGAATGTTCATTCATGTGTTCTACAAAATAAGAACATTTTAGGTTATGCTTTTTGCAGGACCTACATGAGAAATGTGTTTTAGGAATTGAGCAATTCTTACATGCTGAATCATAAACTTTTAAAAAGTAAGACAAAACATTTGTAGTAACAAAAACAATATGCCAGTAAGGAGAAAAGAGCAAATGTATCATTCAAGAAACTACATTCAGAAAAATGTGGTGAATATTTAGCCACTAAGAGAAGACATAGAGAAGATACCTTTTTGTGGTATAAGGGGGATTCTGTTGGTTATTTGTATTATTGATACATAAATACAGAGATACTTTAAATTAAATGCTGATGTAGATTTATATTAAAATAGGATTTCCCCCCAAATTTCCAAATTGCAAGTCATGCCCTAATTCTTATGTTGTTGCTCCACTGATTACTTAGTTTATAAATACGTTTTAGTCATCACAATAGTAATTAGTTCAAATACATAAGGGAAAACCATGTATTCATCAGAAATCATGTTTATAACATTTGTAAGAATTCTTTTTGATAAAGAACAACTTGTTAAGAAGAGATTAAAAATTTTTGCCTGCTGAGGTACTACAGTTTCTTTGCCATTTTCTTTGGAATTTGCCATTGTCACTCATCCTGTTGTTTTCCAACTAGGTTACAATGAAGATGTTGGAAACCATGCAATGAAACCAATAAATGAAAATAAAGGTAATTATCTAAGGTTTTTTTTTTTTATTAAAAACCTTTACATTAAAAGTCTCCTAGGAAAAAAACCAAAACTGTTCAGACCTGTGGGTACTTCCCCACCTCTATTAACAAACCCATCACTGACTGCCACATAAAATAGAAATGGCTGATGCGTTCCAGTGTCCTTAATGGAAAAGTAACCTAAATTCCAGTGGGAAAGAAGTGGATTATATCTGAAAGGGGACTTGCTGATTCAGAATGGGCTACTAAATAAGATGGGAAGACCTCCTTTCCCTTGGACAGTAGAGACTGGGTATTTTTAAATAGCATTGTGGCAAATCACCACATCGTACACCTTAAGCTTACACAACGTTGTATGTCACTTATCTCGCAATAAAACTGGAAAAGTATTAAGGGTCTGGGATGGGGAAAAGCACACAGGGTACTTCAATGGTAATGAAAATGTTTTTTTCCTTAAAAAGATGATAGGTACACTGCTCTTTATTGAATTGTTATTTTTACTTTGTACATACTTACAAATGTTATTTTGTATTTACTAAGTATTTAATGAAAGTGAAAAATACACTGTAAAAGTAATTTTAGCCATACTGCTGACCTTTAAAGACAATTAACAATAGATTGCCTGCTTCTAATGCTCAGAAGGAGTGGGCTAAATCACTTTTTCAAAATTCCTTACCCTTGGGGCTGCTATCATGGGAGCTAAAGCTCTGAAGTAAAGGTTCTGTAGAAGCCTCAGTATCCTTGACTGCAGAATCACGGTTTTAGTTGCTGGTGAGAACCCCTGATTCTTTGAGGCTTCAAAAATAAAATCACAATGTTATTTTGATTTGAAGACAAAAGCTAGGTTTCTCCGTGGTGCCCAGCCTGCTTTCAGTGATTTGTTTCTCTGTGCATGTGCCTCATGCTGTCAGAACATTTTTAGGCTGGGGACCCCATTACACATTTCCGGAGACCCTTCCCACCTTGGAGGTAGCTTTCCATGCCTGTGGCCATGGAGAAGACTTCTAAGGTTAACTGCTGTGGCTGATGCTGGCTGCTTTCTGTTTCCACTGAAGTTTCACAAATCCTCCCACTTTAGAAACAGCAGGAATCTGGGCTGGAGGATCATCCCATATCCTCGGCAGTGCCTCAGCGCCACCTTCCCCGGCCTGAGGTTTCTCTCCCACTTAGAATGGAGTTAAGTCTGACTTCCCCCTCAAAATATGGGATGCTTTAATCATTTGAATGGAAATCTCTAATGTGGTCTGAGGCCCCCCCCAAGGAGACTCTAACTGCAGGGTGCTGTGGTTCTTTTGAGCAGAGCCTCTGACCTTGGATGTGGAGTACACGGAAGTGGAAGTGACCTCACCTGAGCCCCACCAAGGTAAATACCACCACTCAAGTGCGTCCCCGTTCTTTGCTGGGTGCTGGAGTGTAGACATCGGGGTGGGCGTGCTGTGACTCCGTGACAAGGGTCTAGTCAACCTCAGTTGCTCAGAAGGGGGATGGTCAGCAGACAGACTGCTGGATGTGCCTAAGGCAGGAGCAGTGACCCCTGCACAGGCTTTGAGTAGTAAAGTTTCATGAATTATTACTCATCATACTACTAATAATGGATAAGTCTTATTGAGCAATGAATTAAGTGCTAAGAAATGCATTTGTTGAGAGACTTTTTGAGTGCAGCCTCATTCCTGGGTGTTTGGGCGTTCTTGCAGAGGTACACCCCTTGCCCAAACCCCACGTCTCCCTTAGAAAGTTGCTTGCAGACTGAGTGTGTGTACATGAAATGCATATTTGAAGGTTGCAAGGGCTTGCTCTTTCAAGGCACACTTGAGTAAAGGCCTTTGAAAGCACAGGATCCCTTGCTGTATAAACAGGGGCACTGGCTGTACACTTGCGGTTTTGTCATCGAGTGCATGATTCTCAGGGGCAGGCTGGCTTGGAGGTCCCTCACTCTGGTGCCTGCTTGACGGACTTGGAGTGGGCTGGTCCATAGCAAATGCAAGGATGTCAATTTTAGTTGCTTTTGGCACTACCAAAAGCCCTGTGTGCCCTTCTAACCCTCCTGCACCTTAGCTCTCAGGGAGCACTTCATTCCCAAAGCAGCAGCCACCCAGAGCTTCCCGCCATCCTCGCAAGTGCATTAGGGCTACGGTCATGCATCCCCCTGCCTGCCGGCTAAGTCTACACCTCGTGCACTCAGCCAGGTGGGCCTGGGGCCTCCAGACCAAGCCTGCGAAGGAAGCATCACCCAGAGCACATGGCAAGGGCATCTTCTTGTTACCTGTTACTCCATGATCTGGGAGGAGTTTCGGGTTCTTCCCTTCCTCCCTTTCTTAGGTCCTGGGTACCATGTCAGCAGGTATGTGCACAGAACCTGCAAGCAGGGCGGTCCTTTTCAACCCCCAGGCTGAGTGCTGCGCAACAGGGGCACCGTTCCTATAGTCTGCCGTCAGAATGGCCCCTAGAGGTGGGACTGCCCACTCTGCAGGACTGGGGGGCCTCCCACCTCCAAGTCTCCACTGGTCCTGGAGGGTGGAGCCCAGCAGGCCCAAAGTTCTTGTCCTCCCTATTTCATTGTAAAGTAAGTTGCCAGTTGAGTTGACAAATTGAGGGCCCACGATGGACCAACTCCCATGCAAGCAGCAGAAGTACCTGTGTGGCCCCCACCTCATAGAGGGATAGCCTGCCAGGGGGCTGGGGAAACAAGGAACCAACAAATAAGGAGATAGTGTCGGGTTAGAGTAAGTGCTCAGAGGGAAACAATGAGGTGCTCTGAGAAGGCATCAAAGGGGGCACCTTTTCTGCGTGGATGGTCCCAGGGGGCCTGTTTGAGGGGTGACATTTAAGCTAGGCACAGAGAAAGTGGCCCCACCAAGAGGAGGGAGGGTCAGGAGGACCAGGACGCGGGAAGGGCAATGCAAGCTGGCTCAACACTTGGCTCATTTAAGGATCCAGAAGGAAACCCCTGTCTCTGCAGAGAAAGCAAGAGGGAGAGGAGGCAGATGACACTGGGGAGGATGGGGCAGGGGCAGGGCCTGCAGGGCCTCTGGGGTTCTCTGCATTCTTGTCTCAGAGGATTCAGGGGCCTTTGGAAGCCTTTAGGAAGGGAAGTGACAGGTTCCAACTTCGTTCTTTAAAAATGGTCCCTGTGGCTGGTGTGGAGAACAGACGGAAGGGGATAAGATAGGAGACAGAGAGGCCAGTACGTTATCACCGAGCAGGAGAGGCTGATGGTGGAGCCGGGGTGCTGGCAGTGAATGGATTTGAGACCCCATAGCACTGGATGAAGGGCAAGGATGGGGAGACAGAATGACTACATGTTTCTTAACTGAACAACTGCATGGATGGTCATGATGTCTGAGGTTAGGAGGACCAGGCTCATGATGAGATCTGCTTCTGGTGGGTTTAAGTTGAGGGGCCCAAGAGGAGACCACACAGGGGTCTGGTGCTCAGAACCTAGTGTGGGTGGGCTGACGGCCCTGCGCGGCTCCCGGCCCGCCTCCCCTGGGCCAGCCTGGACCCGGGTGGGCGCCCCTCCCCGCCACTTTCACTGTGCCTCACAGGCTCAGACTTCAGGCTTGGAAGGAAAGAACTGTAGCAAGTGGGGCAGAGGCTGCCCAAATATTCTGAATGTGTGTAGAAAAAACCCCACTGTCCTCTTGATCCTCCACTCCCAGGTGCGCAAGCAGGTGCGATTGCCCAGCACTGTGGCCTGATGCCCACAAGGCTTTGGATTTAAGGAACCTGGAGGAGGAAGGAGGAAGCAGGGTTTTGTCCTTGGAATCGGTCATTTTCCAGGCCTTTGGGAATGTTTCCTTGTTAGTAGCATCTGGTTTTCTTTTTCTTGCTTAAAGGTTAGGGTGGGGTGGCTTGTAGCGAGAAGAAGACCCCCCAGGATGGGGGCAGGGGGGCTTGCCATGCCAAGTAGTGCAGCTGCAGGGTTGCAACCAATTTACATAAAGGGGCTGTGGGGGCTGCGGGGGCCTGGGGAGGGCTAGAATGAAGGTCTCTCGGGGGGAAATTGGAGTTTCTGGAGGATTCGAGTTGAGTTTTCTGGACCCAGCCTCCTTGGCAGTTAAGAGACTGGGGGCATGCTGACCCCTTGCTTTCTCATGGGTGGAGAGTGGGGGGCATTACCAGGGGAGGAAAAGGCTCGGGGGATTCAAGGCCAGTACACTTGACCTAGTATTGGCCAGTCCAGTTCCCTGTCCTGAGGCCTCTCTCTTCCGTGGCTGGGGTTGGGGGAGGGATGGGGACCAAGTCCAGCCCCAACCCTGGCTGGCAGCTGACCAGGCAGTCACTCGGGGTGGAGGAGGGGTGGGAAGGAACTCGTTAAACCCGGTGTGCTGCATGTTTGCTCTGAGGCTGATTGCTGGGAAAACCCCATGACGTGGAAGCCAGCTCCTTCTCCGTTACCAGAGAAAAACAGAAGCCACAATAAGGCTCCATCTGGAAACATCCTTCACAGCAGGGACAAACAGCCTGTGGGCCTGGTTTGGTCATTAGCGGGCAGCTGCTGCGGCAGAGCAGCAGGAGGAGAGGGGGTGAAGGGCGGCACGCTTCCCCGCCGTCGGAACCGGGGGAGCAGAACATGCACACACACACACACACACTCACACACACTCAGAGGCCCAGCAGAACTGGGAGGCAGCAGAGAAACTACTGGGGCATCTGCATGCCTGGCAGTCACCCAAAAAATTGAGGGCACCCTGCTGCCCAGCTGATGGCAGTTAATAGGTGAAGGGGAGTCAGGGCAGCTCTTCAGGTCCAGAGGGTGTTAAAAAGGGTCATCCCCACAGGGACTGAGGGGCCTACTGGCCTCCCCACGTGCCTGGGGGCCGAGGAGTTCACAAGGGTGTCCAGGCCCCCAGGCTTGCCCAGCCCCCTCGCTTCATTCCTCCCCTGCCTCCCCCAGCTCAGCTCCCACTGTGGGGCTGGTCAGAAACTGAGCTGGCAGTGACCTCAGCGTACCTGGAATGCAGCATCCTGTGTCATTTATCACAGCCTGTTTGCACAGCCATCTGCCCCACAGCCTGGAGCTCCCGAAAGCTGGGACCAGATCCAAGTCACCCTTCCCTTTTTGTCTTCCACGGTGCCCAGCACACAGGTGGCGTTAGGATTATACTGGATGAGTGACTTGGCCAGGCTTGACGTTGAGCACAGAGTCCCTTGAGGCTGTGGTAGGTCCCCCAGCAGACATGGGGTTCCTGGAGCTTCCCTTTAGACCCCCTAATCTGTGCCATGGAGTGTGGGTGTCTCTGCTGGCCTCTTAGAGAAAGACAGCAGTCCTCACAGGAGGGTGCTGGTGCCTGAACTGCTCCATAGAGCACCAACTCTGGTTTGGTGCCTGGGGGAGTCTGCAAGGTCCTGGCCACCCCATGTGCCCCAAGTTCAGCTGGCGGGATCAGAACCATCCCATGGCTCTCCTGGCATTTGGGTCCTGACACAGGAGCTACCACCATTCAGTGTCCAATGAATGACGGTAATTTTAATCCTAAGACCTTAAACCTCAGGGATGAGAGTGGTTATGACAAGACCTTCCTGAAGACCAGGGGAGGTAGAAATGCCTACAGGGATCCTTGACTTTGACTGGTACCCTCACTGTCATATCAAACCTTTGCAGTACCTCAAGTAGCTGTGTAAGGCCTGGGATGGGAAGGGCACATGATCTCAGGCACTGCCCTGGGCGAGCTGTGGGTCCACTAGGGAAGACAGTCATGGGGACAAATAATGTCACTGTGGTCATGGGCAAGCATCCCCAAAGTGCTGTGGGAGCCCAGGGGGCCCAAGTAACTGCCCTGTGCGCAGGCAAGAGGGGAGTGTGCAGGAGTATGTAGGTGTGAGGGTTGGGGCATCGCAGGGCAGGAGCAAAGCTTGTCCTGGGGCTTGGGGGAGAGGGGCAATGGGGCAAAGAGAAAGGGCCGTGTGGGCAGTGAAGGAATGTGTTCAGGCTCGGGGTTGAGAGAAGGGGGCATCCCTGGAGCATGGTGAGTCATGCTTTCTCAGTGCAGTTAGAGTCCGTGGACATGCCCATGCCATCCTGCCACCAAGGAGTCACATCCACATGGCCGCGACCATGCTGACAGGAGTCTTACCCTGTCTGGGACTCTATTTCCTCATGTGTAGAAGGAGAATGCTGGCCACGCGGCATCAGGCGTCTTTCTACCATGAGGCTTCCCGGTCCCTTGTGCGGGTGACAGGAACTGGAGGAGCAGCTGGGGTTCATCCTGCTTCCTGAGGGTTTGTGGGGGGTGTGCCCACAGGTGTGTATGCCTGTATGCACATGCTGTGTGTATGCGTGTGTATATACAACCTGTACACATGCATCAACTTAAACTGCTGGGTTTGTCTCCTAAACCCTTGAGACTCCTCTGGGTGTTGTTCATACCCTGGTCATCGTGTCTGCTGTCCCAGACCACAAGCTCTCCACCCAGTCTGTATATTAGAACGTCCTGAGGAGCTCCTTAAGGATACCAAGGCCAGGGCCCACCCCGGACTAATTCAGTCAGAGTGGTCTGTGAGGCTCAAGGGTTGGCATGTGAATCAGACCAGCCTTCTGTGTTGTCAGCGGCCTTCAGTCCCAGCTGACACTTAGAGTCACAGATGATGCCCAGGCTCTAACCCAGAGCTCAGGTTCTTGGGAGACTATAGCCAGGCTCCTGGGAGGGGCTGGCAGAGCAACTGGACACAGGACACAGTGGCAAGGGAAGAGGGATGGAACCACCAACCTGGAGGCTGCAAGCCTGGAACACGGGCCCTGCAGCCTTTGGGCCCAGGGCTGCCCTGAAGAGGGTGGACCCACCCCATAAAGGCCTGTTGCCTTGTCCCTCCATTCTGAGAGTGGCACTGGGCAGACCAGGATCTCAGCCCCAGGCTCAATGGCAACAAGCTCTCCAGGTGCCCCTGGAGATGGACATGGTGGTGTGGGTTGGGGGAGGTGCAGCCTTGCCCAGGGAGCCTGAGACCTTTTCCTGCTTTGGCAGTGGGCTGACCTGGTGCCCAGAGGCAGCTATTAACCTGTGGCTGGTCCCTTACCAGGTTTGGGAACAAAGGGCACGGAGACGGTGTATAGTGAAATCCGGAAAGCCGACCCTGGTGAGTGAGACCCTCTGACTCCCACGTCTGGGGGGACGCTTCCCCCAGAACCATCCATGGGGCCTTGGGAGAGGGCAGAGAAAAGGAGGAGCAAAGGAAGCCCACAGAGGAGACACCCACCCCTTACCCCAGAGTGTTCTCTCCCCACCACCCTGAAAGAGTAGCCAGAATTTGGTTACATGTACTGTTTATTTAGTCAATGGACACTTATTTAGTGCCTGCTGCATTCGAGGCAGACAGTCTCATATGTTCATACCCAACCAAAGGGCCAGTTGAACTGGAGTGTGTCCTGGCCCGCGATGTGCTCACTGGATGCTCAGCAGAGTTCCGGACACTCTTTCATGACCCAAGATAAACAGAGCAACCCTACCTGTTCTCAGGTGCCAGCCAGTGAGCCTCCCCCACTTCTCCCATGGGACTAGTGCTCCAGTGATCCCAAGGCCTTAGATAGACTCAGTGCTTGGCTTTAAGGACGTTCAGCAGCTCCGGCTTTTCTGAGAGCACACTGATTTTGGCACAGGGGTGTGGCTCTGCTCCCATCTCCTTTGATTTTCACCTAGACCCACTTCAGTTGCCCCCTGCACTGCGTCCTCGTGAGGAGCTTCCTGTGGAACTGAGCACAGTGCCCAGGCAGACATGCAACTGGGGAAGCTCCCAACAGTAATTCTATTCCATTCTGATGAAATGAAGTCCACAAAGACAACTTTTTAAATTCTGAAAATACATGGAAACCCAAACGGCATAAACATTCCAGGGGAAATCTGTGGATATCGTCCTTTGTACAACTGACCTATGCAAGTGGATTCTTTGAAAAGGAGTCCTTAACACGGGCCAGGGAACTTTGGTAGAGCTGGGCTCCGCCAAGCAGGGTCCACAGACTGGCAGCAGTGGAGATCCCAGGCCCAGCCCAGACCCACAGAACCAGAATCTCTCCAGAATCTAAATTCTAACAAGTTCCCAGATATTTCTGATGTAGGAATCACCTCTCAATTTTTTTTAAATGGTATTTTTCATGGGTAGAGCAGAAACTCAGCCCCCTGCGGAACTTGACACTGATGGAATAACTTTCTAACCATTTCCTGGGGAATTTTTGGTGTCAGTATCTCATTTTGCATTCTTAATATACTCAGAGCTAGCCAAATGCAAATTCAGAAATAAATAGGCTTTCTCTATTCTTCCAGAATAACAGAAAGCAGAAGGTCAGGCAGGGTTCAGAGTTGGTCCTGTCAGTAGTTGTGCACAAATACTCCTGGTGCTTTGATCCTCATCCCTGAGATTGTCCACTTGAGCTTCTTTGATTATGTAAAAGCTCACCTTTTTTGAGGGCTTCCTATGGGTGCTAAATGTCTATGTGACAATATCTCTTCCAATTCTCACAATAAGTCCACTTCACAATTGAGGATACTGATGCACACAGAGGTTAAAACACTTGCCCATGGTCGTACGGCAAGCAAGCCCCAGAACCTGCCCCCTCTGAAGCCAGACTCCACGCCTCTGACCGCGGAGCTGCCGCCTCTGGTTTGAGGGAAGGGAAGCTGGTGGAGTGTGGAGGCCACAGGGCTCCCCCACCCCACAGGCGCCTTGGGGTCTGCAGTCACCTGAGACTACCAGTGGAGGCCCCTGCTTGGCTGGCGAAGGCCACACCCAGTGTGGATTCCAAAGGGTCTGCGTTAGTGGCTCTGCACATGAGACTCACAAGAGACAGATTGATGAAAGAAAAGCAAAACAGCAATGAGTGACCCCGTGGAGTTGTTGGAACCTGGAGCTTATTTAGCATGTTAACCAAGAACGATAAATTTGTAGAGAAGTAACAAAACAAAGGAAAAGTGGTTCCCAGGGTGGCGAGCTAGGGGGAAACTGACGGAGTCAGGTTTGTTTGTGCAGGTCCATCTTGGCAGTGACTTTCTGTCTTCATGGCCATAAAACTTCTCTGGAAGAGGGGATTTATGGCAGCACTCATTTCCCAGAAGTTTCTGCTTTTAGTCAGATAAGGGAAGCTCCTGCAAAGCTTCTCTCTGCGTCTGTTGATTCTCATCTGCCTCCAGTTCAAAATAATCCATATGCCAATTTTGTGGTGGCATATTCTGATTTCTTACATCTGCTTTAGGGCAGCTGTTCACGCAGGTTCTCTCCAGGGCCCCAGGCTGGCTCTAGATGCCTGAGTCCTCAGTCCCAGGCTACTGGATGGTGACTGCTCCCTCTGGCCTCCGGCTGGCCTGGACCACATGCACTGTAGAACCCAGCCCTGTAGGGATTCGAGGGGGTGAAGCACCCTGTTTTTTTTGGAGACATCCAAGCCCCAATCCTGGGGCTGCCACTTACTGGCTGTGTGACTTTGCTCCAGGTGCCTAACCCCTCTAAGACCCAATTTCTTACACTGTTAAAGGGAGATGGTATTAAACGAGAAAAGGAGATGGGATAGCATCAGGGGAGATGGTGCTAATTACCCCCAAGCCAGCAGTCAGTGTATTATCCCTACCACAGGGTGAGCACTTGGTCCATTTTTAGCTGAAAACACAAGAGGAACTTGAGCCCTTGAGTTCAGTGCCATGCCAGGCCGAGACCAACGCCACCTCCCAACCCCAGGCCAGGCTGCTCCCCCAGTGCCATTTGGGCCATCAGAGGTGAGGTGGACCTGCGTCCCTCTGTAAACTGTACTCTAACCTGGCAGCTGGCTCCTGCCCCGGGGGAGCGTAGAGCGAGCCCTGGGTCTTACAGCCAAGACCGTAGCATGGTTTGGAAAGCCAGTGCCCCTGCCTCACTGGGGAGCCTCCTGCCGTGGAAGCCAGGAGACTTTTTGTTTCTGAGCATTTCGGCTCAGTGGAGGCCTCAGGGGTGGAGGCCTCAGGCCTTGTCTGATTTCTCTGCCCTCTTTCTTGCTTTTCCTCTTGCTGTCAGATGCCAACTTAATCCTCAAAGTCACCGTGGAGTTGACTGTTGACTGACGGAGGCTCTCATTACCATTCCTACTCTGCAGATGGGGAAACAGGCCCAGAGGTGAAGTAACAGGTCCCCAGGCCGGCAGTGGCGGGGCGGGGATTGCACAGGGAGCCTGGAGGCAGGCCTTTGCCAGCCACCTTTCCTCTCTGTGCTGCCAAACCGATTGGCTGCCTACTTCTGCATTTTCTAGACTTCTTTGGTTTCCACATTGTCATCAGCTTAATTAGAGGATTCAACTCTGTTAGACATCACAGCCTGGTGTGGCCTGGGTAACTCTGGGCAAGTCACGGAACCTCTCAGGACCTTCATCACCTTCTCTGTGAAATGAGGGGCCTGGGCTCAGGGCTAATCAAGCGTTCTCTACGTTTGTTAAAACACAGGTGGTATAGCATTACCTCCTCGTTTTGATTCAGTAGGTCTCGGGGGGCCCGAGCATTTCTCACACACCGCTGCTGTTGGCCTGGGGACCACACTTTGAGAACCACAATCCAGCTGCTCTGAGCTCCCCTCTGACTGTACCACTCTAAGTGCTGCTCTGCTTCCTGTCGGAAGGGATAGAGTCCTCCTTACTTCCCAGCAATCTCAGCAGGATTGCACAGAGTTGGCCGGCAAAGATAACGCAGAAACGTGTGTGTGTTGTGGGAGGAAGTGACCCACAATAAAACGAGGTCCCTGGCAGGAGTGAGCCCCTGAGTGCAGAGCTGAGCCTTGCGACTTCTCCTTCTCAGTCTTCTGTTCTTCCCGTCTTAGCTTCTCAGTTCCCCCTACTCCTCCACCAGCGGTGCTTCAGGGCTGGCTATTTTGGGAAATGGCTCACAGGGCGTAGTTCTGGCTCGTAAACCCCTTTTTCCCCTGAGTGATACAGAGGAAAGCTGCTCTTCTAGATAAGCAAAAGGGCATCAGAGGGCTGCCTGCAAGGCACAGCCCCAGGGTGGGGCTCTGGGCGGGACCCGGACAGCGTGGGGCTGCTGGCTGAGGAGTGTTGGGGGGTCTCCTAGTCTGTGGGAGGCCCCGGGTCTGCAGTCTCGCCTTTAGGCTCTTAGCTGTGACAAAAGATACATAGTGCTTGCCATTTTAACCGCTTTTAAATGTAAGCTCCGTGGCAATGAACGTACGACCATCAGCACTATTCCTCTCCAGAACTTTGTCATCTTCCTGAACTGAAACTCCGCACCGCTTTTAACACTAACTCCCAACTTTCCCCACCCCCTGGCAAGAGCAGTTCTACTTTGTGTCTCTAAGCTTAGCTTTTTTTGTCTGTGAGACAAGGTGGTTGAAAGAATGAACTTAAGTTGCCTTCCAATTATAGAGTCTTGGTGTCCTGGCATCTGGAAGTGACTGTCATTTCTCTATGCTGTGGTCAGTCCAGGACCATCCCCCTGACCATGGTGGGGAGGGACAGTCAGTCACTTCTAAGAGTTACTCCATGGGTCCTTTGCAGCCAATCCGAATCCCTTACCCACTCTTGACTCCAGGACCCCAAAGGTATTTGCTTCTAAGTCTGAGTTTTCTCTTCAAATTCAATCAAGTCATGGATTCAGGGGCCAACTTACTGTGTTTCTGCTGCATGCATGTTGGCTAGGGCCCAGTCTGGAGGATTCTCTGTATTGCAAACCTAATGGAAAATCCTGAGTAAGGGATGTAGCCTGGGATTTGGTCTCAGCTCTGCCCTTATCACATTATATGATGTGGTCCCCACCCCTTACCTCTCTCTAGGTTTTAGTTTTCTTGTTAAATCTCAGTAAAATGCTCCTGACCCGTGTGGAACTCCTGCAGAGCGAACATCTCAGTGTTCCTCGGGAGTGTGTGTGGACCTCAGGGTGGGTAAGGACTGTGGTGGGCAGGTGGGTTCTATGAAGTGAAGAGAAGGGGGGCATCAGCATCTCCCGCTGGGTCATGGCCATGGCTGGGCGTGTCTGCTATTCTATTTGGAGCCTACTATTTTGTTGACGTACAGCTAAGCTAACATCTTATTCTAGCAATTAACTCAGTAGTCTAAGGCAAAGAAACCTCTTGATCTTTGAGCTTTTTCCCTTTCCAACTGTTAGATGGTTTTTTGCTGCATGTAAGGAAGGCAGGAGAATCTCAGAACTAGAATTAGATCAGTAAGACACTAAACTCAGAGATGCCTGAGGAGAAGGGAAAGCAAGCCCTGGGACACAGCCAGACAGGTTAAGAAAGAGCTTTCGCATTTCAGTAACTATTATTTTCTTAGGGGAATGGAGAAAATGCTGATAATTTGCTCATTATTTAGTCTGCAAGCTTAGCACTTGAGGCTTTTTAAAGTTCCTATTCCCTTTTCAATTATTTGCCTAAGATTAGGATCTGCAAATCCCAGTCAGCAATAGTGGTGTACTTATGGCTTATGATTTGGTTTTCCAAAAATGGGGAGTTAGTTTTGTTGCACTTAGTAAGCAGTAATGCAGATGGTCCTAAGCAGTAAGCATTTAAAGGAAGTAGTCCAGGTTACAATTTAGGACCCTTCTCTCTTAACACTTAATTGAACCAATTTGCTCCCGTGTCCTGGAGCTTCAGACTCACGCAGGACCATGTGTTAGGCACCTGAGTCCTCCTGATGCAGCAGGTGGTGGTCTCCCAGGCTCGTCCAGAGCTTTGGTACTCTGGGTTGCAGGGGAAAAAAGTGTCAAAAGCTATACTCTTCCTCCACAGAACTCTCCTCTCATCTATCATCACCTCCTTCCTTCTCCTACTGGTGCCAGCTAATCCCAGGAAAGGCTTGGTTTTCTTTTGCTCCGCCTTGTTCTCCTAGTGTTAAGCCTAAAAGAGAAATTATAGCTGGGTGGGTGGGGCCTCTCCATAAATGCATGGCTATCCGTGGCTTTCTCAGCAACTTCACTCAGCCTGGTTGCAGTTTCTGGCTAGCCAGAAAGGCTTGAATGTTTATCCTTATTCAGCACTTGACATTTTATAGTGCTGCAGCTCATTCTGAAAATCATTTATATAATCGCTTGTAGGTCATCCAAAGCAAACCCTATTAGCATACATTTACACTGGATTTTAGGACAGAAGGGTAAAGTGGTTTATTACAATGAGCAAGGCAGTCAGATTCTTCCCTATGAAAGAGCACTTGCTTAGGAGGAGATTTCCACCGCTTAGAGTGGTGGCTCTCAAGCAGGAGACATTCGCCAGTGTCTGGAGACATTTTTGGTTGTCCTGATTTGTTGGGGAGGTGGGGTGTTACTGCACCTAAAGGGTGGAGGCCAGGGACACCGCTAAACATCCCACAGGACAGACCCCATGACAGAGAATTAGCCCAGAATGCCAATACTGCCAATGTTAAGAAACCCTGGCTTAGAGGAATTCATCCCCTGTGAGTCCCCCAAGGGGACACCTGCTTTTCCTCTCTGTAAGCTTTGTGTCCACCTCGAGAGTGTCCTGGGCCCATCCCACCTGACACCTTGAGGCCCTGGGAAGAGATGCTGAATCCCACACCGCAAACTCCCCTGTGTTTTGGGTCACACAGGGCCCACCTTCCCATCTGAGCACAGCTCACTTAGCCTCTACCTTCTGCTTTCTCTTTGCCTGGAATGTAGAGTTCCAGATGTTTCCTAAGGGGGCAGAAATCCAAAATGCTCAGGGTAGTGGTCATCGAGAAAGAACCAAAGAACAGAGGGCCTGTGTACTGCCTGCCCTCTGGGAGGAGAGAAGAGCCCTTGAAGGCCTGCCCCCCACCCAGCGCGTGAGGCCTGGAACAAGCCGGGCCAACAGGCACCGCCAACCCTGCCCCAGGGAACCATTTCCTACTTCAGAATTCGAGAGGGTAAAAAAGCACTGCAAGGAAAGAAAATGGACACTATCCACCAGATTCTGTTTTTGTAGTGGCTGCTCTGCTACCACAACGAAGCAAAAACTCTAAGTGTTCATAAACTTGGTCTTCTGCCAGTATTACCGGCATGTTCAAATTTTTAGCATTTTGTGTTCATGTTGCTTTAGGAAATGCATCCTGAGGCTCTTTCCCTCTTGTGTCTGATTTCAGAGCCCTTGGGGCTTTGGGGGAACGGGAAGCATGGGGTCCTTTGTGTCCTCCCAGGTCAGGTTTGGGCTGGGGGTGGGGGTGCTGCCCATGCCTTGCTCAATATGTGGAAGTTTACACAATGGCTCGACTCCGTGGTCGGGCTGATTCATCCCTGTGGCTGCTGACGCCTGCCTCTGGCCCAGCCAGGACAGAAGGGGGCCCCTTAGGGACTTCTGGCCTTGTTCCCTCTGGAGGGACGCACAATGGAGCTGTGATAAGACAGGGTTGGAGGGGGAAGTGCACTTGTGGAAACAGGATATTTTTAAATTAGAGCAAGAAACAGAAGGGTTGTGACTCCCGTTGTGACAGATGGGCCCGAGACTGCCCAAGGCACAGGGTTTGAGCTCCAGTAGCAGGACAGAAACTGAGGCCCCTTGGGGTGCCTCCCTGGAGGAAGACTGAGGACTTGGGGAGGGCTATGGCCGTCCACATCACCTTCAAGAAGGGCAACCACCCCCAGTGCCCACACCTCCTCTGCAGGCAGTAAGAGGCCCCCGCAGCCTCCCTGTCATCAGGTCTGTGTCGGTAATGTGCCGTTTTGGGGAACTGGCCCAGTGTGTGAACCACTGCCCATTCTGGAACTCCGCTATTAATAGGGGCTTGGTCCTGTCCGGAGCGCCAAAAACCATCCCCTCTCTTGCCTCTTGTAGTGGAAACCATCTCTAAACAGTGCAGCCAGGGACCACGCCCCCTCAGTGCAAGGCCTTCAGTTCCCACGGGGCTTTTCTTCCCGCCCCACATTCCCCGTGCTGACGTTAGCCCAGGGCCACTTTCACACTGTGGCCTGGCAGGGCCCGCTGGACAGCTGAGGTGAGGCTCCCCAGGGGAAGGGCTGTGGTGGCCAAGAGCGTCAGCAAGGTTTATACCTCTGGTCCATTGATCCCACTCCTGGGAGTGTACAACTGGTATGAAATAATGAAACAGCTTTATTCCCAAAGAGGATACTAGCAGTGTTATTTTAAAATAGCAGAAACTTGGAAAGAACCTGAATTTTTAAAGTAAGAAACTGGGTAAGTAAACAACTGCACATAATTTAATTATTATTAGGCAGTTCCTAACAATGATGTTTAAGAAGATACCAGAAAAATCATGTTATGTACAAAAGGATATTAAATGACATATAGTGTACAATTATAACTCTCCCAAAACGCCTCATCATTGTAGAAATGGGCTGGAAGATGAGAGTGTCAAAAGAGTTTGAAGAGTAGAACCAAATATAATTTTTATCTGCTAATTTCCACTAGGTTATATAGCTTTCAGTTTTTTTCCTTATAATAATATGTGGTGTTAATTTTTTTAGAGACTGTTTAAAATGTCAAACGAGCTGTCAGAACTTCATATGCTTGTCACATGGAGCTACAGGGCCCAGAGGAAGCTCTCTGTGGGCAAAGGAGTTGTAAACCAGGGTGCCCAGAGGCTTGCAGGCCTGGTATCTCTGTCTGCACCCCTGTCCCCTTTAGTTGCTCCATTCCTGCCATGTTTGGTGGGGCTGGGGAGGAGCCTAACACAGTCTTTGCATTGCTTATCTCCACATTTTCCTTTGTTTTGCAGGTTTCGTGGAAAACCGATATTCTGTAAGTACTCATTTCATAAAAATTATTTTTCAAAAATATTCCATTGAGCAGTGAAATATTTCCAAACTTGCCCAGGTTTCCAAACATTCCCATTCATTACAGCCCAGAACTGACCTTGTCTGTTTTAGACCAGGAGCACAGGTCGTCTGACTAGCCTGAGCGGGCAGAGAGTCGTTCATCAGACTGGCCAGGTGTTCTGGGCCACTCGTGATTTCAAATATCCTCTCCCACTGTCTCCATCATTGCATCTCAGCCTAAATATGAAGCGTGACCCTGGTACTGCCCCCCTAGGATCAAAAATGAAGGGCTCTAGCTCCAAGTGAGCAAAATACACATTTCCTCCTGGTCCAGGATTCAAGCTTTGGAAGCGACGCAGGCTCAGGGGTAGGCTTGGAGGAGTCGAGGATCCAGCAGCTCATTTCAACTCTGAGAGCCCATGTCAGTCAACCCTACACACCAGGTTCTCCACTGCAGAGGACACCCAGGGTCCTGACCCAGTGGGGGACACAGACTAGTTATCTCTGGTGAGAAAGCAAGGAGCTAGCAGCTGCATCAGAGACGATGGAACACCAGCCAGTGGAGCTTCCTTCCACCTGGGTGGTGGTCTCCTGACCAAGGAAGGGGTCATGTGGATAGGCCCTGAGGGGTGAGTCGGCTTACAGCAGTGCCCAGGTGGGAGCAAAGTTGTGAGGGACGGAGCAGCTTCAAGCAGCTCAGAACAGGGGGAGGAGATGGTGGCCAGACACGAGATAGGAAAGCTAAGTGAGGTTGGTAGGTGAAGGACCCTAATGCCTCATTATGGGGTTTGATTCTGTAGGAAATAGAGGAGTTAGGAAGCTGCTACTTCGTAGATGGGAATGTTTAAGAGAAACGAAGAAGTCCAAGTTCAAATTTGGCAAAGACCTGTCATCCCCATCTTCCTACACACAACCTTTTTATGAGCTACCCAGCAGTGCAGGAGTTAACTCACTGGGCAGCTAGTTACCTTAAGAAATGAGGAATTTGCTTCCCAAACTGCTTCTTTAAGGTCTGGGAAGAACTTGAGGCAAGATTGCTGGTAGCCTTCCAATGGGCCACTGGCTTCCTTTGTCTGGCCTGTGTCTGAATTTGTGTAAAAAACAAAGAACTCATCATGCCTTTGCTGGGCGGGAAACTGCTGACATTCTTCTGATGGAGGAAAGCTTTCAGTTTAAGGAAAAGAGGACTTTTTTCTAGTCTAAACCACTTAAGCTCCTGAAATCAGAGACTGTTGCAGTGGAAAGTCACGGAGCCCAATTTATAGATGAGAAAACCGAGGCCTGAATCGGCAGAACAGCTTGCCCAGGGTCACCCAGCTAGTTAATAGCAGAGGCAGGACTGGAATCTCCCC